CGCGCGGACAAATACACTGAGTTTGGCCATTCCTTAGATGGTTTACCATCGTGGACTACAGAATCGCTGCGGATCTTACTCCAAATTGGAGAGTGGTTGCGCATTCGTCAATTCATCTTAATTTATTTTAAATATAATTAAAATAAGTCGTGTTCATTTCAATAATTATTTATTAAATTTGATAAGATACCTGTGACCGATAGTTCGAACTGTATGTATTTTGAGCACAAACTATTCCTAAAAGGATAAATCGCGGAAGCGGTGGCGGGAATCGACATCGAAAGCATAACAAAGTTATATTTTATTTGTTTATTGCAGCGACAAACCGGATAATGGATTGTACACAATATTTTCTTATGGATGTGCAGGTAAAAAACATGGGAATGGAACACCGTGTATTAACATGAATTATTAGTTAAAATATAGAATGCCACTCGTGGGAAATAATCGTCGACGATGCATAAATGCGTTCGGTAAGTACAGTAACGATGCATTACAGCTAAATAACGATATCTACTTCAGGTCTTTCTACATAAAGTTGCACGCCTTCTATATCTTTTCAGCGACAGTTTCAAAATAAATTAATTTCTCTCAGCACCCGCTCAAGGTTCAGGTGCTGTCTCACGAAAATTTAGACTGAAAAGCTTTAATGTCGTTGAAAGTCTAAAACACTTACTTAAGTTGAGATATTCGCTGAAATTCAAGGCAACATGAGCACGGAACATAACACAATTGAAGCAAAAATTAACTGAAGATTCTTGAATTATTGAACTTTACCAGAGCCAGTCCTGAGTAGCGTTTGCCGGCTTTGTGCAGGTAAGGTATTTGTCCGACTGATCGTATGGCTTAGGGATTTGCGCTACCTCGCACATCTCCCCAACAACGGCCTTCCAGAGACGATTGACTCGGTTGTTCGATTCTGCGAGGAGAAAATGATATAATAATGTACGGAAATACGAAATTAGGTCTTAGAATTACTCTTTCGAGGAGCATCGTCGCAAAGCGCGAAGTCGTAGAAGACAAAGATGACGATAATCAAGCGCATCAATCTGTAG